TGTGTGTGTATTTATATATATACATAATAAATATACGCAGCACACATACATATATTATGTAAACAAAAACTTTTATTTTGGATGCGATTAATCGTTTGACAGCACTAGTTTTTACACTTTCTTCTTAATGTGAAATGTACCCTAAATTACACAATAGGGCCTTTCGCTCCGCGGGAAACTTTTCATAGTACCAATGCAACCCTTTAAATGGTACTGGGAAATAGGTCGCGCAAAATCGTCCCAGTACTTTAGTACTGTACATTTAGTTCTGGAACTAAAGCGGTGCGAAAGGCCCTAATGACTCTCTTATATTGAGCTTGCTTTTTGGATCTTGACAGTGAATTAACCCTTCAAATAACATATTGCTAGACTGAAAACACGCAGCCTCAACTGACCCCGAATCACTGCAGCCCACACAAACACTGACCTCACGTAAAAGCCTAACTCCCTTTTCCAGTATGAGACGGATTAAGAGAGGAAGAATCTTAGAGGTGAAAGCAGGCAGCAGGGCTTTCAGTGAAGGGAGCAGGTTTGTAATCCCTTTAAGATGTCTTTATTGAGCGTATTAGAGCCCATATTATCACCCCAGTTGACCCCTTTTCTTTCCCTCTTTTGCTCTCCATCCCCTGTTTTCTCTGTACTTGTAGTGTGAGGTATTATTCACTTGTGCTAATCTGACAGCTGCATTTTCAATATTGCAACAGAAAATAAGGGAATCGGTTTCTATTTATATACATTTATTCCATCCAGGTGACAAATTTAACAAATACAGTTTGTTCAAACAAAAGTGTTGCAGTAGTTGTTATGAAGTGTAAACTATATACCGTAAAAAAGAAAAGGGAAATGTACCAGTAATCTTCTGCCAGTTTTTCTATTAATTTTACATACATTTCCATTTAAAAACAACACCTGTAACAAATCAATAAGGAAAATTCCTTTATAATAATACAGCACATTGTGCCCTATTTTAGTGTATTTTTAATTAATTAATTTATTTATTTATTTTTACAGTATAGTACACTGTAAAAAAAAATCCGTAAAATTTTTACTGTAGCATTTTTACAGTCTTTTACCATTAAATTCACGGTCATTTTTTACAGTGTAGTACAAAACTGCAGGAAAGTAGAGGAAAAAGGGACAATTTTTTAATAAGTTTGATTTTATTTTAATAATAAAATATTTTTTTAAATGTGGTTTAATTTTAAAATATTAATTGTATATACTTTTATTAGCAAGTTATTAGCTAAACTATTCCACCTTTGTTTAGAGGAACCAGGGTTATTAGTTAACTAAAACTGAAACTAAAATTAAAACCATAAAAAAAAAATGCTGCTTGAAATAAAAAATATATTTTTAGGTGAAATAAAATATAAAAACCTTTTTTTTTTCAGCTAGTTGCCACGGCACAGTTTCTCATTTTAATTTAGTTTAATGTGATATACTAAAATAAAATAACTAAAACTGAAATAAAAATTAATAAAACTAAACAAAAATATGTAGACATAAAAATGAAGATATAATAAAAATGACACAACAAAATGACCAAAACTTTAAAAACGTATAATGGAAAATATAAATATAAAAACTATAATAGTATCTCAAAGCCACTAAAATAACACTGAGAGAAGAACACTTGACTAAATGTTTAGTTGGGTGCGAGACATCTTTAAAAACCTGGAAATCAATACTGAGGTCAGCTCATTTGAATAACAATAGCTCAAGTGTGACTTTCCCACCAAATGAAGGCAGTTTGCTGTGTTTTTCTCAGGGTGGAGGATGTTGATTCGTGGCCCAGCAGATGTTCGCTGCGGCGTGCTGGTCAGTGTCTGACGCTCCGTCTCTCTGTTAAGGTCAAAGGTCCCACGACGTCGAGAGACAGACCTCTCGCACGGGTCAGAGAGCAATAGAGGCTAGAGAGTTCAGTGCATGCTGCTCGGGCAAATGCTTTTGCACCTATGAAATGGTTAAAGTTTAAACCCACTTTCAACATTCCTCAACACCTGAACAAGAGCTCAGGCCGTCTGGGCTACTAATGTCGTAAGGCCACAGCACTGATGAAACTAAGCCTTTTCCTGAAAAATCAGATCAGAATAAAACCTTTGTAATCTCATATACTATAATACGAATGATAAAAGCAAAGAATTGAGGGCAGAATAGAATTTAAAGATTGAGTTTAAAATAAAAGGGCTGGAATTGCCACTGCATGGTCCAGTGTCTGCACTAAATAAATCGTCTATGATAATTTGAGATTGACTTTTATTTGTAGGAAAGAGAAAGTGTAGAGATACTAAGTGATCAGAATCCAGGAAGAGCTGCATTCCGGATCAAAGACCAACAGTTCAACCCCAGAAACCTGGAAACACACACAGAGAGTGAAAACAAACAGAGAGCACAGGACAAACGGCTCAAAATCTCTGCCATCTGGACTTGGTAGGATGCAAATCAGTAAAGCAGTGAGTTATTTTGATAAAACATATGGTTGAAAAGAATAAACAGGACTTGAAAAAGACAAAAATATACAAAGAATCACTGTAAACCCTAATGCTCAAAAGAATTAATTGGTTTGAGTATATTTAGGGAAAACCTAAATTAAAATATATGATCCATTGTAATAAAAAAGCTATCAAACATAAGTGTTGCAATACTTGTTATTAAGAGTAAATTAAAGTTACAGAAAGGAAAAATTTATTTTAATTTGTCCTATATATATATAAATATATATATATAAAACAAATCAGTAGAGCAGTGACTTTCCATGCTCAAAATAATTCATTGGTTTGAGTCAGGCAAACTTGAATTAAACAAATTATTTCAAATTAACTTTTATGAGTATTTAGAACTTTCTTTGTCCTTTGAGTTCATGAAACTGACTTAAGTAAACTTCTTAAGTAATTTTAATTGTCTTATTTTTTTTTATTTAATTAACTTGTTTTTTTTTCATTTAAACTAAATTTAACTTATTTTCCAGCTTGCTTTGCCATGGCACTCAAAAGGGAGAGTAAATGCTAAAATCAATTATATATTATATAATGTTTTGTGTGTGTGTGTGTGTGTGCAAGATTAATGTTATTTCACGTTATTGGAGCAATTGACATGTATGTGTGCAAAATGAAAATCTAAGAATAAAAATCTTAAATTTTCTTATATAATGATTACCTACATTTTGAGTTTTGCCAACTTATTTTGGTTTACAGATTTGTGTAAGGGAATGTATCTTATGGAAGCCTTTAAGAGTGTCCAAGGTAAAGAAAAGGAATGTAAAAAGTGCAGTTTATAATGCATGTGTCAAGTTCTTCGAAATGTATTAATGCATCTTAATGACACCACTTTTAACAAACTTTGATAACAAAAAATCATGTATCAAGTTCATTTTCTTTACACTTTTGAATGTGAGGGTAATCATTATATCCAAGAAGTTTATGTATGTTAAACATATTTAAATTATAAAAATTTGGGGGGTTGTACCATCTGACATTTTTCCACCTGAACCGGTTTGCTGGTTTCAGATGAGTTTCGGTCCACAGACTGTCCTAAACCAACTAGCTTTGCCTGCTTTAAGACGTCTTTTTCAGCAGAGTAAAAGCCAACGCAATCATGAGAAGACAAAAAGATTTCCACAGAGAGTGATCTAAAAAAGCCCTAAATCAGATTAACAAAGCAGCACAAAGCTCTTCAATACAGCACATTTACACCAGCTCAGCACAAAAAGATCCGCATAAAACAATGACTTCTTTCAGAATATTACGAGATGATTGGTGAAACAGGATGAAATGCTAGTGTTTTTTTGAAGCTTGTGTTTGGTGAGGAACTTTCTATAGTTGTAAAGCTGCCATATTCTTTGATTTTAATCACGCTGACACATCTTCTGAGGTTTAGATCTTCACTAAGGAGGTCTTCTCCGTCCTCAGAGGCATGCTAAGTGTACCTATGGTCATCCCTGGAGGGGTTAACCGTGTGTGTGGTAACACATTCCTGGTTGTTTGTGTAGAGTGGCTACAGCCCACTCACTGCTCTTTGACTCTATTACCCTTATAAGGCAGGCGGCGCCATGGCAACCAGAGGGCTTGAATAGCAGTGTCAAATCCCTGAACACACAGACACACACTCGCTCGCCCTCCACTACTCAGAGAGAGAGAGAGAGAGAGAGACAGAGAACAGAGCCAGGCTTGTTGGCCAGTCACCACAGACGCTCGGGTCAGCTGTCTCTCCTGATCGTTGGATCTCATGATTTACTGATGAATGGAGAAAAGCAGGGCACGGGAAGCAGCGGACGGCTAAAAGAGCTTAAGGTCGGTTCCTGAGAATGCTGAGGCCCCGGAGACCATACGGCTGGACCAACCGGCACTGACGAAACAAGGTACAGAAGGACTCTCTCTCTCTCGCTCTTGTATTTGCACAGAGTGTACTGAGACTCAACCAAAAGGTGCTTGCTTCTCTGCTAAGTTGCAGGATTGTGTTGTTTAACCAAGAGAAAGAGCAAGGAACTTTCTTGAACTTTGCTTCTTGAGGAGCAGGGTGGGGCCTGAGCTCTGTTTATCATTAGCCAGCTCGCTGTCTGCATGTTTGGCATTGTGGTTTTCTGCTGTTTGGAAGCAGTTCTTTATTAGCAGTTTAACCCTATGTGACAATTATAAAAAAGTTATACAGGACAAAAATGTTAGTGTCAAAAAAAGAAAATAAAAATATTTTATTTATAGCATATTTCCACTTTTTACAGATTTTTTAAATTAACATCAGTCCTGAGCATGCATGCATATATATATATATATTAACCCTTTAAATGTCCGTTTGTTTAATGCCATTGTTGTTACGTTTTATGAAAAACAAAAAAATATTTTCCACACACTAAATGCTTTTTTGTTTTAAAAATGCAGTCTTGGATATGTCAGTGATTAGAAACAATATTAGCTGTTTCATGTTCACTTTTTTTTTGTGCAATGTCAGATTTAAAAAAAATAAAATCCATTCTTGATATGGATACCAATACAACCACACAATTATAATTACATAACTTCATATTAACATATATAATAATGTTAATATATGTTAAACATGTATTAACATACTTTATAACAATTTCATTTGGCCTTTTTTCAGCTTAAGCAGAAAACAGGAAAAACATGGGTATTTGCTTTATAGGCCAAACCTCAGAAAATGGTGCTGTCAGGTGGAAAGTTTTCAACATTTAAAAAAATGTAAAAATAGTACAAATTTTGACGCATTGCCAACAGAATCAAAGAATGCATGATTTTATAGCTAAATGGCACTGGGGTTAAATATTGCTGTTTTAATGGAGACATTTTTATCCTTAAGGTCCTGAGTGTAACTGTTTTTGTTCGTAGTGTAAAATAGATTTATAAGGGTGAAATATTCAAATTCCAATAAAAATACTAATTTTTGGCAAATGTTATGCTGTTTGCATTAACAACAACAACAACAAAAATGTGTCTGAGGATACACAAGGGTTAAAGGAAGCAGTTTCTTTTGGATTATTTGACATTTAGATAACCTCGGAAGATCATTTTATTGCTCAGGATTTGTACTTTCATAGCTCAGGGGACTCTTTCTACTTAAATTACACAAATGAGACCATAGTTGATATACAATAAAACCATAAAGCTGTAAAATAAAATTCTTGGTAGAATTAGATGAGAAAATGTTTGACTTCACAGACTGTGGTATCTTTATTGAGAAACTAGAGAAGACACTTATGAGATTAGAGGGGAGTTCTTCACAGAAGCAAAAATCTGAGAAGCAGGAGGCTTAACTTAGTCTCCTTTTAATCTCATTGCTGTCCAGGAGAAACAACCGAGATACTAAGTGATCTCATTTGTGATTTTTCTCACCGAAACATGAACCAGTAAATACGAAACGCACTGGCAGGTTGAGTCAAACCTACCCAAGTGACCTGTAATACCCTCAACGTTTCTAAACACGACCGCATGTTTCTCAGTACCGAAGGAACTGGTTTAACTTGTCGGTTACTAGGGGGCATGTAGAGTAGGTTTTTCTAGTGTTGCGAGCTGAGAAGGAGTTTCATTGCATCCACGTCTCAGAGCTGTGAGAGCTCAGAGCTTGTCTTTTCCCTGAAGTCTGGGTGCGTTTATGTGTAATTTATTGTTTCCTGTGAAAAGGGCGAGGTGAGCTGTCCAACTCTGAACTGCTCAGTGAATCAAAGGGATCTTGAGATCTTCAGAGGGTTTTGTGGTTAGGGGACTCGAAGAAAAGCAACAGGAATTGTGATATGACAAAAACATGTCAGCCCGGTAAGCCTCGGGGGTCTTCAGAGTGCTGTTGAATGTGTTTCTCCTCCGAGTCTGACTTGTTCGGCTTACTGTCTGCAGCTTGAAGGGGTTCTTCCTGAATTCTCGACGTGGGAAGGTTTCTCAAGCAGCTACTGCTGGTGAACACAGAGATGGCCATGGTGAGCGGGGGATGGGCCAACCCCAACGGCGGCGCTAATGGACTCGGTGAGAAAGGTTACCTGCGGGGGGAGGAGGAGAGCAGCTCGCCCCGGGCGGGGAACAGCGACGCAGAAGGTGGCGAGGAGGACAAGGCCTGCGTGGTGGACTGCGTGGTGTGTGGCGACAAATCCAGCGGCAAGCACTATGGTGTGTTCACCTGCGAAGGGTGCAAGAGTTTCTTTAAGAGGAGCATCAGACGGAACCTCAACTACACCTGCAGGTGAGACACACACATAATATCTTACATTGGTTAGCAAACAGGTTTTCCACTTACATTAGAATTTTTTTCATTAAATGCTAAATTTGATTACCACAAACTGCACAATAGTCCGTTTTCTAGCAAGAAACTGAAGGGTCATCGCCATCTATATATAAATAAACAAAAAGATTTGCGACTGCTCGGGCTCAACAGCCAATCACACGCTGTGTTTCCAGATGCAGCTTGGCAAAGGAATTTGGCTGAACTTTCTGTGAACTCTGTTAACCTCTTACTGACATTTAAATTACAGTGTATGTAAGTGAACATTTATATACTCGTGAATCAGAGCCTGTAATAAGGGAGATGAATAAATCATAGTAATCATGCTATAATAAATGCTTGACGCTGACATTTTTTCTCAAGGAGCATGTGCTCCTAAGTCAATTTAGGGGCACAATGAAAAAAAGTACATTAGGTTTTTAAATAGTTTTTTTCACTCTTTTCACACACACTCACATTCAATGATTCGCAATATGCACAACGAAGTTCCGACCTGAATAAAAAGATTCACAAACCCACTCCAAAGTTCCCATCTAAATTAAATGATTTGTGATCCACGCTGCGTAGTTCCGATCTGAATAATGATTCGCAAACCATCATTTCAGATCGGTACCTCAGAGTGCGGATTGTGAATCATTCAATTAGGGAAATAATTCGCAAAGTCGCTCCGAAGTTCGGATATAAATCAAATGATTCGTGAACCCGCTCCAAAGTCCCGATCGGAATCAGATGATTCGTGATTCACGATCCGATTGGAGTGCTTCGAAACAGTGAATCATTTTGCAATGCAATGGTTTAACCAATTCTGAGTTTCGAAAAGCTCAATTTCACCCATCACTATACAATATAATTCACATTAAAATCGGTTAATTAATTTTAAATAGGTTGACCAATGCAATTCAGTTGGTGACAGTTCAATATGAAATTAGTACGATGGCCGAGAGAGCTCAACGCGTTGCAACTTCAGAAAACACATGCAAATAGAAAAAGCATCAGCAAATAAAGAAAACAGCTTCATCAGTTTGACAGCACATGTGCTGCAAATACTCGCAACACAACCAAATACAAAAACACGCTACAAATGCTCACAACACAAACAAATAAAGGAACGTGCTGCAAAAACAGAAACACGCTACAAATGCTCACAACACAAACAAATAAAGAAACGTGCTGCAAAAACAGAAACGCGCTGCAAATACTCACAACACAAACAAATAAAGGAAAGCGCTGCAAAAACAGAAACACGCTACAAATGCTCACAACACAAACAAATAAAGAAACGGCTGCAAATACTCACAACACAAACAAAGAAACGCGCTGCAAAAACAGAAATGCCTGCAAATACTCACAACACAAACAAATAAAGAAATGCGCTGCAAATACTCACAACACAAACAAATACAGAAACGCGCTGCAAAAACAGAAATGCGCTGCAAATACTCACAAGACAAACAAATAAAGAAATGCGCTGCAAATACTCACAACACAAACAAATACAGAAACGTGCTGCAAAAACTCATAACACAACTAACAGAAACGCACAAGTAGCACAGACCACAACAAAATTACCCCAACAAAATGAAAATTAATTTTTTTCTTGGCGTATTGATTACCATTTGTATAACCACAGTTGTACAAATACCATGGTTAAAACTCTGGTTAGTGTAGTAAATCCATGGTTAATTTGTGCATGGTTACAGTAACCATTTTTTGTTTTCATTTTTCTTATATAATACATTTATTTATTAATGAATTAATTTTAATAGTAGGCTATGGTTAATTTTTGTAAGGCAAGTTGTAAAAGTAAGTAAGCCAGCTTACATAACCTTTCACAGTTACAGTAATTGTGTATTTCGTCAACAGCTAATGAATATGATCAGGATGTTACACAAAAATCTCACCTTTCAGAGTAGACATTGATAAGCATGTCCCAGCCATGCTTTGTCACTTCTGCCACAATTCTGCGCGCGAAAGATCATATTTTGAGCGCACAAAAGTGCATTTTGCACGCACACGATCTTTATATATATATATATATATATATATATATATAT